CTATATGTACTTTTCGACTGAGCTTTTCAAAAAGTCAAATTTCATTTTATTTTTGAGCTAGAATTTATATAGTCCAAAATTATGTTTTATAATTGTTTACATTCGATAACATGGTATTTTTTGAAGACAAGTTATTTACAGACCTTTACATAATTATATTTAATAAATTATCTATATAAAACATAGATATAAGTATTTGAGAAGACCATTCGCTTGTCATTTTTTAATACCATCACTCCCATCGCTTTCGACATACTCAAGTAGTTTAATGATAGAAGAAAACAAATCAACCAAACGCAACAAGGTTTTATAGTGAGACCCCAACGAGTTTTACCAGGTCTTTGAAATGAAACCTCTTGGTTTAATCCCTTTCCTATCTTAATTTCACCCTTCTTAGTTCTTTCCTCGATTTTTTTCCGAAAGTCTTCTCGAACCATATCCTTCCTCTTACAAGAAGTCCCGACCACATTTAACAAGACATCAAACTCATCAAAGAAATTCCCAACTTCAAAATGCTTTTGAGCAACTGCCACGACAACTAACTGGAGCTGATGAGCAAAACAATGGACATAATAAGCAGAACTACATTCTCTTGAGATTAAAGATTTCAGCCCATTGAACTCACCCTTTATATTACTCGCTCCATCATAACCTACTCTTAACTTCTTCAAACTCAATCCATGCTAAGCAAAAACCGAATCAATATCACACTTCAGAGATAAAGACGATGTTTCTTTCACATGAATCAGACCAACAAATCTTTCTTTAACTATCCCTTGTGTATCAAAGCGAAAAACTAAAGCCATTTGCTCTTTATCAGAAACATCTGCAGATTCATCTACCAACAAGAAAAATACATCATGACTAACTTCTTGAATAATAGATTCAATAACTTCTTCTGCAAAGCAATGGACTATATATGTCTGAATTTTGTGGGACACCATCTGGTTGTTTTTAGAGGCATTCTCTAACACAACTTTATTTTCAAGCTCATTTTGCTCTGCAGTATATTTCACAAGCTTCAAAAAGTTTCCCTTGTTAACTGAACCCACTGATTCATCATGGCCTCAAAACAGTAATCCTTGTCGTAACAGATACCTACAAGCATCAATTGAAGCATTCAATCTGATCTTATATTCTTTTTTAACTATGTCATTCTGCTTATGAAAAGCATAAACAATTGATTGTCCTAGTTTCATCAGATAATCAGCCCTTTTTAGTGCACTATTGTGAAAACTATTCACAGCTCCTACATGATCACGTAATCTATCTGTCTTGTTCCAGTCATTAAAGTCATTGATCACAAATGCATCACTTCCATTTTTATTTTCAGCGTAATCTCTAAACAAGTAGCAGAATAAATAAAATACTATGTCCCATTTCACACTATATTCTAACCAATCACCATAGAGATCGAACCAAGAAGGATTGAATCATCTCAATTTACCTTTAAACAATGTTTTAGGAAATTCATGACCACGAGACTGACAAGGACCTTTCATAAGATATTTGTGTCTTATCTCATCTCTTTGGTGCTATGGATATTCAGATATCTTTTTCCTCTCACCAGGATCACAAGGTAAATTCTCCAAATCAACATTATCAGGTGTGGATGCAATAACTTCTTTAAATCATCTTCATCAGAAGTCGATGGAAATTTTCGTAACTTCTCAAAATCATCTTCACAACCAGATGTTGATGCAAATTTTCTTTTAGGCTTGAAGTATTTTTCCATTAAAACTAGTCGTGAAAGAAAAAAAAAATTTAACACAATTTTATAGTTTCTAATTTTCCTATTTAACTACTATAAATCATCATTATTTTTACCTTTTATTTTTTTTTCTTGTTGAACTCGTATCTGCAACCTTCTTGGTTGTTTTTATCAAAAAAAAAAGCCTTCTTCGTTGCGTGACGGTTGTAAAAAGAACGCACAAGCTTGTGCTATAGTTAGGTCAAACACTTTGCATTCTTTATTAACTATATGTACTTTTCGACTGAGCTTTTCAAAAAGTCAAATTTCATTTTATTTTTGAGCTAGAATTTATATAGTCCAAGATTATGTTTTATAATTGTTTACATTCGATAACATGGTATTTTTTGAAGACAAGTTATTTACAGACCTTTACATAATTATATTTAATAAATTATCTATATAAAACATAGATATAAGTATTTGAGAAGACCATTCGCTTGTCATTTTTTAATACCATCACTCCCATCGCTTTCGACATACTCAAGTAGTTTAATGATAGAAGAAAACAAATCAACCAAACGCAACAAGGTTTTATAGTGAGACCCCCAACGAGTTTTACCAGGTCTTTGAAATGAAACCTCTTGGTTTAATCCCTTTCCTATCTTAATTTCACCCTTCTTAGTTCTTTCCTCGATTTTTTTCCGAAAGTCTTCTCGAACCATATCCTTCCTCTTACAAGAAGTCCCGACCACATTTAACAAGACATCAAACTCATCAAAGAAATTCCCAACTTCAAAATGCTTTTGAGCAACTGCCACGACAACTAACTGGAGCTGATGAGCAAAACAATGGACATAATAAGCAGAACTACATTCTCTTGAGATTAAAGATTTCAGCCCATTGAACTCACCCTTTATATTACTCGCTCCATCATAACCTACTCTTAACTTCTTCAAACTCAATCCATGCTAAGCAAAAACCGAATCAATATCACACTTCAGAGATAAAGACGATGTTTCTTTCACATGAATCAGACCAACAAATCTTTCTTTAACTATCCCTTGTGTATCAACAAAGCAAAAAAACCAAACCCATTTGCTCTTTATCAGAAACATCTGCAGATTCATCTACCAATAAGCAAAATACATCATGACCAACTTCTTGAATAATAGATTCAATAACTTCTTCTGCAAAGCAATGGACTATATCTGTCTGAATTTTGTGGGACACCATCTGGTTGTTTTTAGAGGCATTCTCTAACACAACTTTATTTTCAAGCTCATTTTGCTCTGCAGTATATTTCACAAGCTTCAAAAAGTTTCCCTTGTTAACTGAACCCACTGATTCATCATGGCCTCAAAACAGTAATCCTTGTCGTAACAGATACCTACAAGCATCAATTGAAGCATTCAATTTGATCTGATATTCTTTTTTAACTATGTCATTCTGCTTATAAAAAGCATAAACAATTGATTGTCCTAGTTTCATCAGATAATCAGCCCTTTTTAGTGCACTATTGTGAAAACTATTCACAGCTCCTACATGATCACGTAATCTATCTGTCTTGTTCCAGTCATTAAAGTCATTGATCACAAATGCATCACTTCCACCTTTATTTTCAGCATAATCTCTAAACAAGTAGCAGAATAAATAAAATACCATGTCCCTTTTCACACTATATTCTAACCAATCACCATAGAGATCGAACCAAGAAGGATTGAATCGTCTCAATTTACCTTTAAACAATGTTTTAGGAAATTCATGACCACGAGACTGACAAGGACCTTTCATAAGATATTTGTGTCTTATCTCATCTCTTTGGTGCGATGGATATTCAGATATCTTTTTCCTCTCACCAGGATCACAAGGTAAATTCTCCAAATCAACATTATCAGGTGTGGATGCAATAACTTCTTTAAATCATCTTCATCAGAAGTCGATGGAAATTTTCGTAACTTCTCAAAATCATCTTCACAACCAGATGTTGATGCAAATTTTCTTTTAGGCTTGAAGAATTTTTCCATTAAAACTAGTATGTGAAAGAAAAAAAAAAATTTAACACAATTTTATAGTTTCTAATTTTCCTATTTAACTACTATAAATCATCATTATTTTTACCTTTTAATTTTTTTTTCTTGTTGAACTCGTATCTGCAACCTTCTTGGTTGTTTTTATCAAAAAAAAAACCTTCTTCGTTGCGTGACGGTTGTAAAAAGAACGCACAAGCTTGTGCTATAGTTAGGTCAAACACTTTGCATTCTTTATTAATTATCTGTACTTTTCGATTGAGCTTTTCAAAAAGTCAAATTTCATTTTCTTTTTGAGCTAGAATTTATATAGTCCAAAATTATGTTTTATAATTGTTTACATTCGATAACATGGTATGTTTTGAAGAAAAGTTATATACAGCCCTTTACATAATTATATTTAACAAATTATCTATATAATTTTTTTTTTAAAGTAGTTGGGGTCACGTGACCCCGTAGTCGACTATATACATCCGCCCCTGTCTCCAATGGAGTATCCATGAGGGTTATATGTCTTGGTTGTAAGAGATTATATGCTCAAATATAAATCAAAAAGAAGAAAAATAGATAGATATGAATCTAAAAATATAATTTTGGAACCAATTCTAAATAATACGTGTCACATTCTGATAGAGTAGTATTTTAAAGAGAAAAAAAATTAAACCTAATTGTTCTTTGTCTCTCCCTTTCGTGGACTGAAAGAAGATGAACTGAATGAAGAAAGCTTGGCGACATGGTGAATCACTCCTCTCCATCCTATATCTACTTTGCTTCTTTCGGCATCTTTAGTCGTCTCCCTCTCTATCCCTCTTTTCCCTCCTCTTCTTCATCCCTTTCCTAAAATCCATCACTCTTGATTATTTGTAATTAAAAAACTGATTTAGAACTATAACACCATGTCTATTGTTGGAGATGGTCTAAAGGCCTCTAGTTTTGCATAGCACAACTCATCCACAATGTCCATGAAGGCCTATTATTAATAGAAGACATGTGTCATAATTTGTCCCCTATAGAGAAAAAACTATTTTATTTATAAATAGATGTCAAGTTAATTTAAATTTTATGTAATTCAATAATTATAAATTTTTTTATTATAGAATGTGATGCAAGTAATCTATTATTACAAGTTTTTAAATTTTTGAATCTTTAATTGGTTCTACCATTGGAGGTATTAAAACTAAACAAATATCTAAAATTTGTAATTTGATTATTTTTAATTAAAAATTGATTTAGAATTCTAACACTATGTCTATTATTGGACATGGTATAATATAAAAGAAGCTTTTTGGATTTACACGATTGGGTAACATATTACAAACATATATCTTAATATATATTGGTAATCAAACAGAGAACATCCGTATAAGTAATTACGACGAGATCAAGAAGTAGCTAGCAAACAGCAAATTAAGGCATTATGTAAATGTGATCAGAAGACGAGAGTTGGTAGAGGCAGCAAGATTCATCAGGGGCGTCTAGCTCTGTACCTAGCAGCAGCGTAGTGCTCGATGAAGGCCAGGGCATTGCTTGTGGTTTCCTCCACGTTCTTCACTTTCCCTTTGATCGTAGCCTTTAACTTGCTCATCCTCCGCCCCGGGAACTGACTCACGCAAGTCTCCGCGTCTGTCAGAGCTGTGCTTGTCCACGTCTGCAGATTGTTTATGTGCCAGTCCAGATCTACTTGTCTCTTTCCGCCTCTCCTGTTCACCCTGTCCAGCTCCGCTATAGCTAGGCTCAGCTGGTTCACGCTGTCTCTGATCTGCGTCAAGCAGTCGTGAACCAACGCGTAGTATTGTGGCCTCACCTTCTCCAGGTTCGTCACTTCTTTTAACAGGAACGCCTTCGTGTACTTGGCTCGGTAGAGGCTTGCTTTGAGGGCAAATCGGGCCAGGTCTCGTGGATTTTGCATAGCCCGTGAACGTACATAACGAGACAACGAGCGGACGCACAGGTTCGGGTATAAGGTTGTCCGGCACCACGAGTCAACGTATGCCTTCGCGTCGTACTCTTTTGCTGACGCGGAGGTTGCCGAAGAAAAGATGACATGAGGAAACAGAGAGATGACTAAGACGAGGATCAGTTTGTTGTTAGCCGCCATGTTGGTAGTGAATCTGCTGGGAACTGATGCGAGAGTTTAGCTTATATGGGTCGATATGGTATAATAATTACATGGCCTGAGTGTTCTTTATATATATGCATCATTTTGGCATGGCACGTGAATAGATGTGGATGAGCTGGATTTAAGATCACTTGAGCTCTCGCTATACTTCGAAGGAAGGTTATTAGAAGGCCGGTAAGCAACTACTATATACATACTAAAGAATTTATGAGTGCATCCGTATAAAATGGAATATAATTCAATTTCAACGTGATTTTATATATTCCTTTGGGCTAGACAGTTGACCTGACTCGATTTCCCAACGTTTTAGTTGTAATTTAACATATCAACAATTGTTATATATATACATGTAACTAGATCTACGTTATGAAACATATATAATCGAAAATATATTTTATATAGAGACATGGTCGACGCACACACGCGTAGTGGAGAGAGTTTACACGTGAAGTGAGGGTTGAAGTGTTGACCCAAAGGGTGCGGCAGGTAGGCAGCGGAGAAGAAGAAAGGGGAGAAGCTCGTGGCCAACAAGATCCTTATTTAACTCTCTAAGCAAAGCTGCACATACTTATATTCCATCTGTAGTTGATATCTGTCCGACCACACATTTAAACTCGATGCGTGTCTTCTCGATTCTCGGAGACACTGCTAAATATCTTAATATTGGATTCAGTGCAACTTGTTAGAACAAGGATGTTGTCTCTTATAAGGAGCACTTTCAATGGAAGTCTCTAGGAGAATATCTCAATATTTAAGAAAATACAAATTAAAAGGAAAATATCAGAGAGAATGAGATAGTATCTCAAATAAGACAATATGAAAACTTCTTTAGGAATTCTATTGACATGTGTTGGCTTTAAAATCATCTAATTTTATTTTAAAAAATGATTATCTAATTATATGATACTAAGATATTACTGTTTTGAAAATGAGAACTTCAAATTAAGAAATTCATCGATAAAGTTGCTCGAGTAGTTGAAATGTTACTATCATCTCTAGGGCATCTTTAGTGGAGAGGTCTTCCCATAACTTTTCCCAAAAATATTATTAAGAAACTTAACAGCAGGAGAAATGAGGTAAAATGATAAAGAATCGATGGTTTATAAAGAGACTATCAATAGGTATATCTACAATTGTCTTTATATTAATGTTACAATAGAATTTTAAACATTTAATTTTAATACAAAATCAAATCACTTTATTATACTAATAGAATATTACTTAGACGTTAGTATTGAGAGACTAACCAATGCTAATGCTCTTAGCAATTAGCATTATTATATCTGTTTTTCAGAATAATTTAGCTATGTCCTAAAATTAAATCCTTTTAAAGAGATCAAATCATCCACAATAAGATATGTGGTATGAAGTAGTGCCGGCTCTAGGATAGTGCAAATCCTCAAGGTCCCACATTTTTTATTTTTTGTTGTTGTTGTTTAGGATCTTATTTTTTTCTAGTTTTTGTTTAGCAAAAGTTCAATTTTAAAATTAGTTGTTGTATTAAAGCAGAAAAAAAAATATGGCACAAGGTCCATCTATTTTTTGAGCTGCGATTGGTATGAAGATATCTCAATGTCTTTTGAATGTTTCTTCATGATGACTGACTCTCAACTTTTCCATTCTCTTTCTACCATTATTTCTTTTCTTTTTAATGAATTTATTAGATGCGAAATTGTCTTGTAAAATAAATGATTACTAGATTCTGACCCGTCCTTTAAAGGGCGGGTTTATTTTTTGTTTCAATTTTATTTGAAAATTTTAATCCAGAACCGGATTTTGTTTTATTGTATGAACCTGCAATTGTTTGTTTGTTAAATATTATGTTTAGGCCTATGATTTCAATATTCGGTTGAATTGTAAGATTTTGTTTATTTATGATTTGGTTCGACTGTGATTTTATGTTTAAACTATTTTTTAAGAAATAAGAACAGTTCATTTGTTTATGAATTTATGTTTGGTTTTGGTTAATTAATTTTATTTTCTGGTTTATTGGAATAAAAGCACTACATATATTTTATACTAAATTTGATTTTAAAAATGGGTATTATTTAGATTCAAAACTCACAAAATATATAACAATATTTTTGCTAGAAATTAAGATTTTAATTTTAAAATTTATATTTAGAATATTCTATAATATTTTTGTTATCTTATGTTCAACCTAACTATTTTAAGAACAAATAATAATTATAAATGTTACGTTAACAAAATATGTTGACAAAATAAAAATGTCTTAACAAAATATTAAAATAATCAAAAATGGGTTTTATAAACTATATATCCAAAAATTAAAAATCGTGTTTTTGGTTAATTGGGCTTGCCTATAACATATCAAATTTTATTTTTCAGAATTAAGGCCCAATAAAAAGTTTAAGACACATTATAATGCTGCCGACAAAAAAAAAAGATGTCTTCTTAACTTTCTTTTAGAAAACAAAGATCTTCTTTTCTCTCCAGAAAGAGTAAGCAAACGGATGCAACATGTTTCATCTCGTCACCGATCTATAAAGGTATAACCCAAAATCCTTTTATATTTTATCAATAGGCCGTATTTCACTAAAACCTATATAAGGCTTTAATTAAAAGCTAATGTTTTATACTTTTCAGAAATCACTTGCATGTGATACCTGATGATAGATCTGGAAAATATATATATGATCAAAGAAGTCGGATCAGATATATCAAGGTTATCTGAATATAAACCAAGCTCGAACACCTCAGATCCATATTTTTCATTATCGGTAGTAAATATTTTATAATTTAAAATAGTTTAGTTTATTGTTTTAATAATATTTATTTTTTATTTGTAGGTCGTGCAGTAACAGAAAATAGACAGATAGTTTTATTCATGTGAGTCTAACCTCAAACACAAATAGTTTTATCTTCAGATTGTATGCATCGGACTTATAATCGAGAAAATAATCTTCCTTGGAAGATAAATTAAAAAAAACTGTGGATAGACAAACTTCATGTTAGTTTCAGTAATGTATGTAACATAAAAATAATTTGACGCTGTTATATTTTATTAGCAGAAGATAGGAATAATATTGGTTTAATTAATATAGCATTAAGGAAGAAAATAATAAATGTCACTGAAAAAGTAATCCTAGTCATTCGTCTGTTATGAAAAATATAAATACTGTGAGAAGTTTTTGTGAATTTGATAGGAATAATATTGGTTTAATTGATTAGTGTAGCATTAAAGAAGAAAAATATAAATGTCATTAAAACAATAAATATGATGCGTGATTTTTGGGATCTATAGTGGTATTTTTTTCTTTCCTGTATTACCCTTCTAGACACCAAAATTTCAAGGCAAATCTGATGGCATAAAAAGTAATATACCAGGAAAGAGCAGGGGTAATTTCAAAAAAGGTTCCTGAAGTAATAGTATTGATTGATGTCATGCAGATGCCCTAAACTAATTTAAAATTACCTGCCAAGGCTTATTTACATAATGCAAGACATCATCAAACAGGTCCATACTCACTGGACCCTAATTTAATCAGGGATTTACAATGAGCCTAACATAGAAGACCCATTAATAATCAGATTTCTAGAGCTGTGTGTGAGAGCTGAGACGGTAATTAAGAAACAAGCACTTAATAAGACTGATGGTTTCATCACCCGTGCACTACAAGAAATAGATTAATTCCTGACCCCTAATTTTGTTAGATATTGGTCAGAAACACTATAATTTAACCATTTTGTGATCACATAAGACCGTCAAAAATACTCCGTCAAAAAATGTGTTTGGTCAGCAAATGGTCAGGAAATTTTGACCATATTAAGTAGACGGAATTGTCGTCAAAAATTATTTATCCATTTTCTGATAAATTCCTGACCATTCTTTTATGTTGACTTTCCAAGAATTTTCATATTAATTTTTATTACTATTTGAGTTTTTATCAAGTTATTAATTTAACTAAATTATTATAACAATATGAATATATTAAAGAGAAATTAGGAACCATACCAAAAACTTATACCATAATTTGCAATCTACCAAAACCATGACATCACCCAACTGTTCATCGCGTCCATTGACATTAATACCCTTAAATACACAAGTTTTTTACCTGACCGAAACCGTCGGGTATAACAATCTATAGAAGATTCATAATCTTTTTACTCAGAAAGGCGATCTTTGCCATATCTGCCTTGTCAGAGGCTTCTTTCCAGAGTAGACCAAGATTCAAAATTTGAAACTTTAACTTCTTCCCACAGTTTGTATTTCTTCGCGATAATCGTTTTCAACTTCTCCCCTTTCCTTTTCCATTTAGATATTCTAAAGAATTCAAAAGCATTTCATAAATGGAGCAGAGCGACGGCATGCAAGGCCCACCGTGTGTTCTACCGGAGAGATTTTTCTACGCCGGAGAAGAACCAGCGGGAGTCAGAGTTACTCCATACCACAAGGCTTCCGGAATCAAACAAATTCTCAATGCTCTTAACTCTCTATCTTTGAATTTAATTGGGAGTGTGGATTTTCTTCATGTGTTTTGTTTCACATGTGTCTTCAATTGATGGTGCAGAAGCGGACGATACGTTTGGTAGCCTTCAGATTGTTAACCACAAATTCTCAATGCCCATCATATTTTGCAGTTGCAACTAAACCCAGTTCGGAATTTATTCTTAATCAAAACTGTCTAATAGTGGCTTGTCACCTATATCAATAACCGGCTAAAACAAAATCTCAAAAAATTACCCATCGATATCGGGGAAAGGAGAGAACCCAATTGGCCGGCTAATTACAATAGTGGCTGGTCACCTATATCAATAACCAGCTAAAACAAAATTTCAAACATTAACCATCGATATCGGGTGAAGGAGAGAACACAATTAGCCGTCTAATTACAATAATGGTTGGTCACCTATATCAATAACCGGCTAAAAGAAAATTTCAAATATTAACCATCGATATCGGGTGAAGGATAAAACCCAAAATTAGCCGTCTAATTACAATAGTGTCTGGTCACCTAAATCAGTAACCGGCTAAAACAAAATTATTGACAATTTTGTGAAGGTTAACAGTGATTGTTAACCGGTTCCGAAGATATATAACCGTATAACAAATTATTTATGGGGCTATCTAGTTTACACTGTCGTTCTGGTCTATTCATTACCGTAAGGGTTCCGGGGATCATGTTATCTTTAGGCTATAGAATTTTGTCTATAGAGTTATATAATTAGTGCTTGGGTTCTGGGTTTCCAATGGGGTGTAGGTTTTAGAATTATGTAACTAAGATGAAGAAATAAGAAGATGACAATGAGAGAGAAAAATCTAAAAGAAATCTCATTTGTAGAGTAAACAAAATCATTTTGTATGTTAGAAAATCATTTGTATGTTAGAAATGACTCTGGAAAATCATTTGTATGTTAGAAAGTTGCATCTTAAATATTAATGTCGAATAAACAACAACAAAAAAATCATTAAATAAAAAATTTACCAGGAACTCATTGTCAGGTGATAGAATGGTCTCACTGATCTCTCGTTCTAAAGTCACAAACGACTCTAAGTCACCATCTACTATCCATTGACCATCGGGTAACCTATTACAAGGAAGAATAAACTGAAATAGCATAGAAGAAAATCAAAAAGGAGAGAAATAGAAAAAGGGATGAGAAGAAAATGAGAAGAGGTTGGATGGCGGCGCCTCTACTTAAGAAAATGAGGCAAGAAGATTTGATATCTAGGTTAAATTAGAGACATCATAAAAAAATGGTCAAAATGTGATCAAAATTTTCTGACCACTTTTTGACTATACATTTTGGTTAAAACATTTTGATCATTTTCTGACCATCTTTTTTATTCATCATAAATTGGACACAATAAGGTTACAATTATTTTTGACCATTGTTGTTTGTTAGAAATCAGCCAAAAAATTTTGACCACTTAGTGACGATACGTTTTGGTTACAAAATTTTAACCAATTTTTGACCATTTTTGTTAATCATCATAAAATGGACAGAATCATGTCATAATTATTTTTAACCATCTTTATTGGTCAGAAATATGGTCAAAATGTAATATGTTTTCTTGTAGTGTTGGTTAAGTGTTATTAGAGCATCTTCATCGCTCGTATATTGAGGGTGCCTTGTGATTAAATGAAAATCAAAAATACAAATAAAAGGAAGGGGCGTATATTATTTGGGGTTCGCTGAGGACGGTTTTTCGTGACACGTGTAAGGTAGATGAGAGGAGAGAGGAGAAACATTTCTTTTGGTTTGGTTTTTGGTCGGTCTGTATTCTCTCGAACTCTCTATTCTCTCGAGAAACCGGCGAAGGCGATTCCACCTCTCTCGCCGTGGTTCCTCGACATACCGTCGAAACTCCCTCTCTCTGCGTCGTCGTCGTGGTTCGTCGACACACCGGCGAGACCCCCTAACTCCTTCTCGTCTTGGCGAATCGTCCCTCTCTCTCTGTGGAAGTCGTCTCACCGACCGCTCTGTCTCTCTGTGGATCTATCATGCATGTCTCATCTCCGTCGCGATGGAAACGCCGAAGACTTCTCTGATCCCGAGCTTCCTCTATTCCTCTTCCACATCTCCGAGATCTCTTCTGAGCTCCAACTCCAACGCCGCGTTCACATCCACCAATCTCGAGAAGTCTCCTTCTCCGGCCACGACGATGGTGTCTCGGAAGAGTTTCCTTATTGCTCCTCCCACGGAGCCAGGGAAGGCGATCGAGATGTACTCGCCTGCCTTCTACGCCGCGTGTACCTTCGGTGGAGTTCTCAGCTGTGGTCTGACTCATATGGCTGTTACTCCTCTCGATCTCGTCAAGTGCAATATGCAGGTTTGTACCTAACTCTTTAGATCCATTATCATTCATCCATGTGTTAGAGATCTGCGTTTTAGAATTTTGTTGTTTCTATGATTGTTTCAAAACATTTTAAGTTCAATTGAGTGTTCTGTCTAAATTTTACATGAAGTTGTATGTTCTGTCTAATTGAGTGTATAAAATTTATGAATTGCGATTTATAATGAATGAACACAAAAGTTTAAACTTTGAAATCAGATTCGAACTTCTGTTTGATCACGTTGTATTTTGATAATGTTCTTGCTAACTGATCATTTTTAATTTTTGGGTTCTGTATGTTGGGTGCTGAGATAAACGGATCAAATCGATGTTCAGTGGAAGATGAGGGAGCTTCATCAATCAAGGTTAGTATTACTCTAGACAAAAGTTACAATTGTTAGAAGTGTATGTGTGTTATTGTATTGAAGTGTATGTGGGTTTACGATAATTAATGGTTAGGTGTGGAGTGAATTTGAAAATAAAAGAATTGTATTTAGGTTTGAGTTTTTTGAAGTGATGGTTGCTTTTAGAGTTAGGTTATGGTTGTGTTACCGTAATAAATAGAAGTTATTGTGTAGCTAGGAAAGTAAAGCAGAAGCTGTTGTTTGTTGTTAGATATATGTCAACTCCAGAGCTGTTTTAAAGATGATTAAATTGTGTTGGTTGTGTGTGTTGAATGCGATACTTCTTTCTTTGTTTTGTTTTATAAATCAGTGTCTTCTCGTTCCTTATTCCACACATGAATGCGCCTTCTCTTGTGTCCCATGTTTCCCATGATTCTACTCTTTCCCCGCTTTATCCTCTGACTCCTGTTGTTTTTTTGTCTACTCCTTCTCATCTGTCTCCTCCTTCTCCTCTGTCTCCTCCTTCTCCTCTGTCTCCTGTTGCTCTTCTGTCTCATTCTTCTCCTCCGTCTCCTCCCTCTGTGAATTCGAAAATGGATTTCAATCCATTTCAAGACTCTGCCAATTTTGTTGACTTACTCAATAGTCAACAAAATGTGGTATTTGGCAGTCAAGCTTCCCCTGTTTCATCTCAAGCTAACCCTGTTGAAGCAGAACGAATGTCAAGAAGGTCGTGGACAGTGACTGAGGACATAGTGCTCATTAGCGCGTGGTTGAACACGAGCAAAGACGCCGTTGTAGGCAATGAGCAGAAGTCTGTGGCTTTTTGGACAAGAGTTGCAACATACTTCTCAGCTAGTCCCAAACTGGCTGGCTCTGAGAAAAGAGAGAGTCGTCAATGCAAGCAACGTTGGCACAAGCTCAACGAATCCGTTTGCAAGTTTGCTGGTGCGTATGAAGCAGCTAAAAGAGCCATGACCAGTGGCACGAATGAGAATGACATCCTAAATGAAGCATACACAATTTACGAAACCAACCACAAAAAGAAATTCAGCTGGGAACATGCCTGGAAGGAACTTCGCTACGATCAAAAGTGGTGTGAGCTTGCTTCAGCTAAAACATCCACCGGTTCGAAGAGGAGGAAGTTCGACGATGGTTCTCATTCAACAAGCTCTCAGGTCAATGAAAATGAGGCTGCTTTAGATGGAACATCTCGTCCTCAGGGTGTCAAGGCTGCAAAAGGTAAAGGGAAGACGCTGCAATCAGCAGAAGATTTGTCTGCGTTCCAGAAAATGTGGAGTATTAAGCAGAATGACTTGGCTGAGAAGCAAATTGTCTCCAAGCTGAAGATACTCGAGTGTCTTGTTGCAAAGGATAACCTAGCTGATTATGAAGAAGAGATCAAGAAGAAACTCCTTAAGGAGTTGATATAACTCTGGTTCATGTTGGTTTCATGCTCCTTTTATGTTTAAATCCATGTTCTCTGTTTATGTTTCATGCTCCTTTTATGTTTCATGCTCCTTTGAATGTTTAAATGGCATGTGTGTGTTCTAATGTTTAATATAATTCGGCTTTTGTTTCATTTTATCTTATTGTTCTCTTTATTGTTCTCTTTATATTTAAAGTAAAGATTTCTTTATGTCAAATTCTCTTTACGTTTTGCAGGTTAATTTGGACAGAGTGCTCACGGACGTACCTGTTGTGTCACAGAGAAAGAAGTGTCCTGTTGTGTGAAAGAGAAAGAAGTGTGTTGTTGTGTCTTGTTGTGTCAAGTTGGTCACGGACTTGTTGTAATTTTGTTGTGTCTTGTTGTGTCTTGTTGTGTCAAGTTGGTCACGGACCTGTTGTGTGAAAGAGAAACATCTTGTTGTGTCTTGTTGTGTCAAGTTGGTCACGGACCTGTTGTGTGAAAGAGAAACATCTTGTTGTGTCTTGTTGTGTCAAGTTGGTCACGGACTTGTTGTAATTTTAACTGTCTATATAATGTACATGTAACAAGAGGCAAATCATCTTTCTCTCATCTATCTATTATCTCATCTTTCTCTTTGTTATGTCTTTTTTCTTAAAAAAAACCAGTGTTCTTTCTTTTGGTCACCAAAATTAACAAGAGGCAAATCATCTTTCTCTCATCTATCTATTTTCACTCTTTGTTCTCTTTTTATAAAACTCTTTAATCACCTCTATGGCTTCTTCTTCTCAACCCGGTTTAGATCAATCATTTGATGATGCATTTGATGACTTATTTGATCAACAATTTGATCAATTCTTTGATCAAGCGTTAGAGAGAATTACCATTCAAGATGATCAAGCCCAATCAAAAGCAAGGACAAAACGAGCTTATATCGAAAGAGCCCGTGAAGAAGGGCATATTCGTTTATGGAATGATTATTTCAGTGAAACTCCAACGTATCCTCCTAATTTATTCCGAAGACGTTTTAGAATGAATAAGCCATTGTTCCTGCACATTGTCGATCGATTCGCCAATGAGGTTCAATATTTTCGCGAAAAGAGAGATGCTCTAGGAAGGATTAGTCTCACTCCCCTTCAAAAGTGTACCGCAGCTATTCGGGTCTTGGCGTATGGTGCTTCTGCTGATTCGGTCGACGAATACCTCCGACTCGGTCAATCAACAACTCGTTTATGTCTGGAACACTTTGTGGACGGAATAATAAATATGTTTGGTGATGAGTACTTAAGAAGACCAACACCGGCTGATCTTCAACGTCTACTTGATGTTGGAGAATATCGTGGATTTCCCGGGATGATAGGAAGTATCGATTGCATGCACTGGGAGTGGAAGAATTGTCCCACTGCTTGGAAAGGGCAATATTCACGTGGTTCGGGTAAACCAACAATCGTTTTAGAGGCGGTTGCTTCATACGATCTCTGGATATGGCATGCATTTTTTGGAGCTCTAGGTACATTAAATGATATCAATGTTCTTGATCGTTCACCTGTTTTTGATGACATAATACAAGGTCATACTCCGAATGTCACTTATTTTGTCAACGGAAGAGAGTATCATATGACTTACTATCTCACTGATGGTATTTATCCGAAATGGGCAACTTTTATCCAATCTATTTCTTTACCACAAAGTCCGAAAGCAGTTTTATTTGCTCAACGTCAAGAAGCTGTCCGAAAGGATGTCGAGCGTGCTTTTGGAGTCTTGCAAGCTCGCTTTGCCATTGTCAAAAATCCAGCATTGTTTTGGGATAAAGTTAAAATTGGGAAGATTATGCGAGCATGTATCATACTCCATAATATGATAGTACAAGACGAACGAGATGGATACAATCAACATGATGTTTCAGAGTTCGTACAAGGAGAAGACCACGGTACTTCACATGTCGATCTGACATATTCTACAGATATGCCTTCAAATATCGCAGATAGGATGGGTGTTCGAACAAAGATTCAAGATAAGCAAATGCATCAACAACTAAAAAGTGATTTGGTCGAAAATGTTTGGCGTAGATTTGGAAATGAATACAACAACTGATCTCGGATGTTTCTTGCAAACAATTATCGTTTATTTTAATAATCTTTGTTTTCATGTTTTTATTTATAAATCAATGTTTAATATGTAATCTCTTTTATTTAATAAAATTTTTAAGTTAAAAAATAAATTTAATATTTTTTAATTTTTAAAAAACCCTAAATAAGAGACCTGCAATGGAGGTATACAAATCTTAGATTTCTTAATTAACTCTCTTAACTAACTTGAACCTTAAAGTACTATTAAAAAACTAATAAGAGACCCATAATGGGTCTCAGGGATGTTGATGCTCTTAGCTGCTCGTGGTGGCTCCCGCAAGCGAGGAATTGTTCCGCGCTTGAACTCTTTTAGCATTTTTCCAGTTGCAGAAGTAAAGTAATGTCTGATGTCACATTGTTTGGTAGGCCAGCTAGCTGATCTGTCCATTGCTAGAAGCAATATAATCATTGGTTCAGGGTATGAGATGACTTTATTAACATTAGAGGATGATCTTTATATACATCTGCGGTGAAAGAATATTTCTAAATTTTTCAAGAACAATAATAATAAAAGTAAAGACACCGACAGAGAGAAAAAACATATAAAGGTATAAAATGAGTTATTTGGAAAAACTTTCAATGCATTTATCATTTTCCAAATTATCAATACTTTTTCAATAATCCATATATTATGAAAAACAGCATTGAAAACTTAGGTGATGTGCATGCTTCAATATTCACCCCCACCCCACCCTCCCTCTTAAAAGATGTATATTTTTTTCAATATTTTGAAAGTATTAGTGGACCAAATACAAATGTTTTGCAGAACTGATAATTACATGGCCGGTTAGTGACATCTAGGTACAGTTGCTGAATTCTTGATCAGGAATCATGATGACTCGGTGTTAAAGTGGGAGAGGGAGTGAAAGTAGAACAATGTTTACTATTTATGTGATAATCCGTCTCGCGGATTCAGATTCAGATTCACAACCTTGTAGGACGCTGACTCTAATTCCTCATCTATAAGTTCTAAACTCTTTCCAGATAGATTATTGGTGCGTTTGGCATTCCTCGAATCTAAGATCTCATCCTTTAACAACTTTCTACATGACGAGACTAGTTATCACAAATTGATCCGCATTTCAATTGGTGATAATTTATCTTGTGGAAAGTTGTTAAAAGGTCAGATCACACGAACAATAATCTGAGAAAAACTTAGAATTTATTGGTGAGCAGTTAGGATTGCTGTCCTGTCCTGCAGAACTGTAATGCCCGTAATGAGAGAATCAGCTCTCACCACTCTTCAACAGCGTTTGTGATATCGTCTCTCGTGGCGGAAGGACTAGCAATACGCGCAGCGATGGAATCAGCCATCGAATCTCAGATGTCTCGGGTGATCTTTGAATCCGACTCCTTGCAATTGGTGACGGCTATTGTGGAGGGATCGAATTACTCTGAGGCTCATGGCATCCTATCTGATATCTATCACCTCTCAACTTGTTTTGAATCTGTTTCCTTTCGATTTTGTCGCCGTGATCGTCTATGTTTCGAAGACACGGTTGCAAAAAACGCTTTAGCTAACTCTGTACTAAACCGGATCTCTGAACCCGGTTCAATTGAGTAATGAATGAAATTTGAGGTTGTGCACACAAAAAAAAAAACCACCGTTTAGTTGGGGCTATACATACTTTTTGGAAGTATATTTATATCATACTTACTATCAAACCAACTCATATTGTCGACCTATGAAATTACCTGATTTGATTTTTCTCCTTTTACAATTTTTGTGGTGGCCAAATCAACGTTTAGATCTATAATCCTCAAATGCATCGTCGTGTAACTTCTTGTTTTGACTTATCAAAAGAAAACTTCTTGTTTTGATTTTAAAGAAACGAAACAAAATCCATTGTACGGCTATTTACTTGTTTAATAAACAGACAAATGGGATCTAGTGTTTGTGGTCATGACGATTGATTACTAGACTTGGCATTGTTTTCGAGATACTTTTGGTTATTAATAGTTAGATTTTGTTTACAAACCTATGGTGGTCGTCAGGGCCAAGTCGACATGTTGACACCCAATCATTTACGATACCTTTTATTTATAAATAAACTGTTAGCTTTCCTTTTTTTTTTTCCTTGTAGAATATATAAAACATTATCATCATACTATTGTGGAATTTTGGAGACAGAGCATATGCCATTGTGTTTCCTCCGTTTTGTCTTTTTACTTGTTCCTGGTGGCACAACTAAAGCCTGAAAACGAAGGGGTTTGTCTATACTGTATGTATCCTAAAATCACTCTCCTTGAGAAAGTTGGAGTTCGTTTATGTGTTTACATTGATTTTACATAATCACTCAACATAGTCATATCATTTTTGGGACGAAATAACCAGACCTTTTTGGAAAGTATATCATATAAAGTACATATGTAGCCTATAGGCCCTAAACGTATAAAATACGATGGAATATGTATGGTGAAGATCTGCAATTATACATATGTAGACTTAATGTTTAAATAATATAATCATTTTGGATTTGAGGGAGGAGGTATCTGTTGTTGCATTTGCTGATATAATGCCGCCATCCTGCTATATGCTTCCATCGTCGTTTGCTGCAATTGGGAAAAAGTTTATTTAGATTCAGACAAGAATGAAGCATCAAGTTAATATAATAACAAAGAGTTGTATAACCTGCGAGGAACATGAAAGAAAGGCTGGCATAGGATCGTGGATATGAGGAGACTGAAATCGAGTGTCGGTCGAAGAGGAGGCATCCCACGATGGAGAAGTCATGGGCACAAATGGGTTCGGCATCATGTTGGCATGAATATTAGGAGCCGTTGCAGCAGCTCGGTTCATAGAATTAAGGTCGAGAAGACCTAGACCCGGTATCCCCATGCCAAGCCCTAAACCCATGGAACTGGACATGAGAGAGAGTTGAAGTTGTTGTTGTTGTTGCTGCATGGCCATGGGAAGCATCATTGAAGGCATGTTCATTCTGCACATCATGCTCACTTGTGCTTGAAGTTGCTTCAAGTACTCTATCACTTCATCCAACATCGACGCTTTATCCGTCTAATTCCAAAATGTAATTTTATCAAGAGTAAATTTGGTAGAAAACCAAAACAAAGTGTGAAATTAGGAAAATACTTTTGATGGGATTGGTTGATGTCTATGAACAAAGGTACCATTAGATGGGATCTAGAGTATATAATTAATTATGAGATTTTGTATGTGTATAGAGTGCAAATACTCCTCAAACAGAGCTCCTTTTGATGCATTATTATTATTTATTTTGAGAAAGGTTTTCTTTTGATGCATTATTTGACCAAACAAACTCAAAGGGATGGTCCATGAACATATTTAGAGCAACCTCAATGGTCTAAACCTCGTTTTGACTATCTAAACCATAAAGTGAGGCTGAACACAAATGATTGATACTCGGTTTGTACTCAGTACTTGATTCGGTTTGGTTTGAAAAAACAAGTACTTGCTCCAATCAAGTCGAGTAATAAGTAAACGCATTTTATTACTCACAAGTACAAGTCCAGTATCAAGTTCATTTTAGTTTAGTTACTTGGTTTATTACTTGGTTTATTACTTCGTTTATTACTTGTTATCATTTTTTTGTTACTTGTCATATATTAGTTAGTTTATTAAAAAATTAGTACAGTAAAACCTCTATAAATTAATAATGTTGGGACTTTGAAATTTTTTTAATTTATAGAGATATTAATTTACGAAAGTTTCCTTATTTATATTTTTTTATTATTTTTATAAAAAATATTTTATTTTAGCATATGTAGATTATTTAAATTTTAGAAATTTGACTTTTATATTTTATTATTATCTTATTTGGTGTATATTTTTATGTTTCATAGAATTTTTACATGATTTTCGATATAATTTAACTAAATATTATCAAATTATATTGAAATGTTTAAAAAACAAAAGTATTTTTATAGTAAATATAAAACCTCTAACTAAATATTATCAAAATATATTCAAATGTTTAAAAAAATAAAAGTATTTTTATAGTAAATATAAAACCAACAATATAATATTAGATTGTACTTATATAAAATTATATATAGCTAGATTATTAATTTATGATTTTAGTAAGACCATATATTTACATGGCAGTTATAAAAATATTATTATCTTATTATTTTATCGATTTATGTCATATTTTACACCGGCCCAAGTTGGGACCGGTGAAATTTATTAATTTATAGAGATTATTAATTTATAGAGTATTAATTTATAGAGGTTCTACTGTATATGTTTCATCTACTCTATTAAAATAGTGTCATTATTTTTATCTACTGATATAAGTTATCATTTAAATTTGAACATTTTCTAGAGTGTTACAAATAATACAAACCATATAGTTAATTAAACTGCATTACTTAAATTAAACCGGTGGTTATTTATTGATATAGTCTTGGGCTTACTTTTGTTTTAGAACAAATTATATGGTTTAGTTTTTGGGCTTAGTATTAAGGAAAAACTCCAAAAAACATTGAATAAACTTTCCACCTTAATGGATCAAAAAAATCAGTTATTATTTTCGAGCCCAAAAGGTATTTAATATTTTTAAACAAAACAAAATTATCTATTATTAATCATTTATTTAAATTATGTACTTTAAAACATGTTAATGTATTCTTTTTTATTTTAAATAACAATCACTTTGTTTTGATAAATTTTAGTGGTAACTTTTAAATAATTTATTGTTTTATTTCTATTAAATAATGTACTCATTTTAAAAAAAATATAAAGCAAAATTTAAAACCAAATCTAAAAACTAAAATCCAAAACCAAAAACTGAAAAAACAGGTTATATTTTTTTTGCTTTTATTTATTTACAAAATAAACTATTGCAAATTTCTTTAAAAAAGTTTTTGTCATCTTTTTAGTTTTAAATTCGATGTTCGATTATTTGGGATTTGTTTGTTAGTAATATCAGTTCAAACTAACTCATCGGATCTAAAAATTAAAAACCCAAACTAAAAGCTGAAAATCAAAAATAGAAACTTAAAAACTAAAAACCAAAAACCAAAAACTAAAACAAAATCTAAAAATAAAAACTAAAACTAAAACTAAAAACTAATGACTAACAACCACCACCACAATTTTTGGTGAACTGATTTTATCCCAAAACATTCTTTAAATTAAAACAAACCCCAATTACATAAATTTTTAATCATAAAAAATTTGCGCGCTTGAAAAGCTCGGGTCAAATTCTAGTTAATTAATTAAAAATTACGTATTTTATGAGTGACCACAATTACTTGTTACTTGCCTCATGTTCACTATTTGGTTGGTACACGATTCTTAAAGTCGAATAATTGTTTTGACTAAGACATGTATCAAGTAGTCTATTTAAACCGTCTTCAAATACAAACAAATACAAAATAATAAAATAAAACTAATTATTCAAAGTTGTTTGGTTTATTATTCATTTTTGTTGAACAAAGATATATTTTCCTAAATCATAAAACAACTCGTTTATATTTTAATTTTTATAAGTAATTCAAACATAAGTGATATATTTATATAAACATTTTAGATTTTTTTTCTTTCTTAATATAATCTATTTCACAAATGACTAAAAATCAGAAAATAATGACAAAATGATAACAATGACATATTATTTATATATAATAAATTTATTTACCATTAAATTTTAATTAATTATCATATAATTTACTAATATTTATCAAGTAATTTGTAAAAAAATAACAAGTAATAAAACAAGGCAAGTAATTTGTAAGTTCATCAATTTTACTCAAGTACTTGAACTGCAAGTATTCGGTTTTAACAAACCAAGTACAAGTCCAAAATTTGAATACTCGTATAAGTCAAGCCGAGTAATAAGTATACCGAAAATACTAAATTCTCGGTTTATGCCCACCCTTACCATAAAATAATATTAATATAATGCTATTTTTAGTACTGAATTAAATTTTAAACTTTAAAAAGAAACAAGTGATTCATTCCTTGACAATTGTTTTATTGGAGAAGCTGCATCTGATACAATTTTTACTGTACCATTTGTTTACTAATATATTTTTATGATACTCTACTTAACCCTATAGTTGGAGGTGCTCTTAGGCAAGCATTCATAACACACTATACAGCAAGGTTGACGAGTATTAATTGATTGTTTTGGTTGAATTTAAATGGACAGCCAGAAGGTAGCATATGATTATTGAAACAATTTATCTTGTCGTTCACATTTTAACTTGTGGAACATATTTAGGCAAGCATACGTGTACGATAACACACTACACATCAAAAGTAATTCACTCATGATTATTAAGGTCGTATGAAATGGACCAACCGGACCGAACTTTAAAGAGATGTAAAATCAGTTTTTGAAGGAGACAAACGAATAAGAGACTGAGATAAAGTGTGTGGAGTAGAATCATCGTATGAGGTCCAATTTTTTAGATATATTCACTTCTATCTTGTCCACCACTACAGCTATTTTCATGCCTACTAATCAACAAGTATTTTTTTTTTTTTAAAGAAAACCTACGGTATTGTTATATATTCGGGCATACTCACATATAAATTTTATTTGGCAGTTGACCGAAAGAGAAAAATAAAAATTTAGCGGCAATAGTTTATAATGCATGTAAAACGAGGTACCTTGCTGGAATTGGGAACCAGTTTCTGCAAAGTCTTCATCCTTTGATTGATCTTATCTCTCCTCTTCTGCAACAAATTAAATATTATTATGAAACAGTACGAATGACATTAAAACGTTTCCTAAGAACAACATTATTGAAAGTTTTTGTGTTAGGATCCTTAAAAAAAAATATTTGTATATATATATTATATATGCGTATAATTACGGGTTAAGGATTTTACAGAAATTCAAATCGAAAATTTCTTAATTAAGAAACTGTTGGTTTGAGTTTTCGTAAAATCCTTAACCCACAATTATATATATATATATATATATATATATATATATATATATATATATATATATATATATATATATATATATATATATATATATATATATATTAAGGACCTAAGATTAAGGACCCCCAATAATTTTGATAAAAAAAACAGAGGTTGAATTAATGAATTACTCGTTCGGATTGGTTATGAATAGCAGCGGCTTTGCTTCTCTTAGTTGAAACTGGTGATTTTTCTCCCGCTTGCTTCTCTTCTTCATCCTCCATCTATATAGATTGTTGTAATTTGTTTTACTTGAGAAAAATAGAAAGTGATGTATATATCTGATGACAATATTTAATTAAAAGGTGTATAGTTATGAAATAAAGAATTGCCTGTGGGCGGCTGTGGCAGACGGAGTCATGATCGTAAATGGTGGTGGTTTTGGTGCAAGGCTTCCCGCCTGAGCTAGAATTATCATCCAACGATGTTGAGGTGAAACCGTAAGTTTCAGTGGTCAGGTTTTGGCTCCCGCCGGTGCTCCACTCTGATGTCACTCTGGCTCGTTTTCCACCAGACATGCGATGACCATTGCTACACGAGCCTACGTGGGTGGCTGGCTGGCTATGCTGCTCAGGGACAAGCGCATCCATGCCGGCCCTGGAAGAGCGGTGGTGGAACCATGAGACGAGCTCATCGGTGGGCTTAGGGTTAGGAAAGCGAGTAGCTTGGTCTACTATTGACTCCAATGTTCCACCGGCGTCTGTTAAATACTTTGATGGAACAGGCACTCGCGTTGGTCCTAAGCTCTGCAACCCCAGTTGCCCGTTCTCCCACGTCAGCTCGGCTACCTCGTACTCTAGCCTGCACAAGATATATATAGCTAGACTTAAGATATTATATTTATATATATACACGTATACTGAGGGGGTTTTTGTCAAAACTAACCCACAACTTAGTTTTAACCCCAATACTAGACCCCAACTTGAATCAAATGCAAATCTAACCTAAAAGGGCTATAAAATTACAATATAGTCCTCTCTGACCAAACAAAAAAACAGAAGACATTTTTACGAATATAACCCCAGTAAGTTGTCTGAGTCGGGATGAGTTACTTTTCAGTCGTCTGGACGACTGAAATGTTAGTCGTCTGGACGATTGAATCTTAAAAATAATTTATAAATTCTGTAAAAAATATTTTCATGAGTGAAAAATTAAAAACATGTAATTATAAACATTTA